CAGAGCAGTGGTCGGCAGCCCCTCCTCCCACCTCTGCTGGGTAACAAGGGATGTTCTCTGGCTGCTGCTCAGCCACTGTGCTGGTTTTCTGTCTGACTTTCTTCTCTTCAGGCTGCAGCGGGTGTACTTTAGAGAGTTTGGAAACACTTTCTTCCAGTGCAGGGAAGGAGCAGTTCTGTGGGTCATGCCACATTCGCCCGGATATCGGCTCAGGTGAAATTTTGAGCAAATCGGATCTGCTTTCTGGCATGCACTGCACAGCCTACTGCTTATTCCCGACTTGTAATTCCGCTGGGCCCCTGCAGTTACTTTCATCCCTTTTGTTTTGATGTCAGGAGGTGGCTTTGTCCACGTGCCTGTTCCAAAATAGACCAGCGTTCCTGATGATGGCCCCTTTGAAGCTCCAGACAGGCAAACGCGTCTGAAGTGGACGCAGGGCGGCAGCGTTGTGTGTCACCGTGCATTTCGTATAGATCTGCAGATGTTTGTGAGCCAGGGTGAGACGCGTGGGCGTCACCTCCTGCCTCTGCTTTGCAGGTCAGATCGACAACCGGAGCAAACTGCGGAACATCGTCGAGCTGCGCTTGGCCGGCCTGGACATCACGGACGCTTCGTTGCGGCTGATCATAAGGCACATGCCTCTGCTCTCCAAACTCAACCTCAGTTACTGTAACCACGTGACGGATCAGTCTATCAACCTGCTGACCGCGGTTGGAACCACCACGCGGGATTCGTTAACAGAAATTAATTTATCAGGTAAGCAACGCCAGCGCAGGGGATGGAGGGAGGACGAGAGCTGCCCCTTGGCATTAGACTCGTGTGAAACACTGAGATCTCTTACCTTGCTCTTCACCTGCCCTGGTGTAGTTCCCCCCCAGGGCTCTGTGTGAGCAGCTGGATGTGCTGCCACTGGAAATGGCCCCACAGCTGCCCAGTCTTTGCCCCCAGCCTTTGCCTGTGCCCCGCCACCCGCAGCACTGGGCCCTCTGCGTGGCTGCATCCCCCGTGTGCTGTCCCTCCCCAGGCCCCCCTCCGCACACCTGGCTCGTGCATTGCTTGCTTCCATCGGTTACGCAGCGGACTCCCGGGATGGGAGAGCGGCGGTGGGGCTGCCCGGGTGATTTCTCTGGGCGCACCATGGGAGGAGCAGGGAGGCCCCACTGCAGTCGGGATGCTCTGTCCTGCGCTGCAGACCCACCGCAGGCACGCCGCTAACGTCTTACCCTCTGGTTTTCCTGTTTTCCCTCAGACTGCAATAAGGTCACTGACCAGTGCCTGTCCTACTTCAAACGCTGTGGAAACATCTGCCAGATCGACCTGAGGTACTGCAAGCAGGTGACGAGAGAGGGCTGCGAGCAGTTCATTGCGGAGATGTCGGTGAGTGTGCAGTTCGGGCAAGTGGAAGAGAAACTTCTGCAGAAACTGAGTTAGTTAAAGGACCCGTGTAAATACTGGGGCGAGGGGGGAAGGGACTGAGAACACGTAGGGATTTTATTTTCAATTGGGAACTCGGGATATTGGAAAATACCACGATTGGATTTTACAACTCGTGTCGGGAACAACATGAAACTACCCACGTGAAGAATTTCAACCTGTGCCACTGGTTCAGTCTACCTGGGGTGTCCTGCACTGGCTCTTATGCAAACTCGTAAGGCGACTGTTACTGATGAGAATTGTCCACACCCGGAAGTGACTGAGCTCCACGAAATACTGTTATTTAAAGTACCACAGCATGTGCTTGGTAGTGTAAATTTGATTTCTGCTTTTCATTTCTTGAAACTACTACAACAAAAAAAGAAAAAAGTTGGTGTCATTGAAGTGGACCACGCACTGCATTTCTGCCTTCTTAACACGTTTTGTTTTGTTACATCTTACATTATGCAGAACTATTTTTGTACAAAAATTGTTTAAAAATTATTTATGCAATGTTTGAATGCATTACCAGTGTTTTGGTTTCGATTGCCAATTTTTATCTTTACTTATGGTAGGCGAGAACTTAACCTATACTTCGTAGACAGTATCTATCTACAAACGTGCCCAGGTCAGGAAAAGTAGGTTAATACTTTCAACTCCAAGCATGTTTTAATGGAAGTTTATATCCTGCTTTGTATACTTCAGAAGTGACATAAGCATGTTGTGGAAATAAGGTGTAAATTATAGTTGAAGTAAAACACTTTGCCAAGTTTTATCTGTATAGAAATCACCTTTTTCTCAAAATTTTAAAAAA